GTCTGGGGCAATATGAACCTGTGTTTTCAGGCCACAGTCACTCTTATTTGGCTAAAAAATAAACTATCCCTTATTCACTTTGATATATAAGGGTGTGTTTTACGTTGATATGATGTGGAGAGAGGAAAGGATGATAATAGATAGATAGATAGATAGATAGATAGATGATTGATAGATAGATGATAGATGGATGGATAGATAGATAGATAGATAGATAGATAGATAGATAGTAGATAGAAGATAGATGATAGAGATAGATAGATACCCTATGTGTGCATTGTAGTGGTTTGAATGAAAATGTCTCCCATAGGTTCCAAGTATTTGGTCATTTTGTCACCAGATGGTGGCGCTGTTTTGGGAGGTCTTAGAAGGTATGGCTATCCTGGAGAGAGCACATCACTGGGGGTGGACTTAGAGAGTTCTTAAGCCTTGCTGGACCTCCATTTTCTCTCCTGTTTCTTGTGCCTGCTGGAAGACGTAGAGCTTAGCTTCCATTACTCCTCCATCCACCTCTACTGCTATGCCTCCCTGCCTTGATGGACTGTAATTCCCCTGGGACCATAAGTTCAAATAAACTCTTCCTTTTATAAATTGTTTTGGTCAGTATTTCTATCACAGCAACAGAAAAGTGACTAATATAGTAATTGGTACCAGAGAGTGGGCTGTTGGCTGTGAAGAACCTGACCATGTGGGGTTTTGAAGAAATGTGGAAGACTTTGGAAGGCTGGGCTAGAACAGCAACTGATTGCTGTAAGCAGAGCTTAATAGACCATTCTAGCAGGTGTCTGGAAGAAAATAATACTGAGAACAATGTAGTTCCAGAGGGAAATAAGGATTTAAACAGCACTTGGGATATTTTGGCGAAGAGTCTTGCTGGAGTCTGCCCTTAACCAAAAAGCTTGCCTGAGGCTAAGTTGAAAAGCAATGGACTAATTTCTCTGGCAGAAGAAATTTCAAGACAGCCTAATATACATCTGAAATTTTCAGCTGAGATGGTGGTGTGGCTATTAATGCAGATCTACAGTGAAAAAGAGCAAATGGGGCAAAAAGAAATACAGTTTGGATTGAAAAAGAGCACTAGGAAGATAAATGTTGGAGCCTTGGCCTATGCCAGATAGGAAGCCTTCAATAAGGAGATTAAAATGATTAAGAAGGGACCTAGAGATTCAAACTTAAACAGTGGAGAGAGTGCCTCCAGGGCAAGACCACACCCAGTTAAGCCTCCAACTTGTGAAAGAAAGATGCTGCAGGGACCACTGAAGAGAAAACTTCTAAAATGGATAAAGCAGGCTGGAGTCCATCCCAAACTTGCAGTGAGACTTGGCAGTGTCATTCACCTGGTGCTGGCTTTAGAGGCATGAAAGATGCAAGAATGAAGGAGTCATCAGTTCTCCCTCCGATGTTTCAGATTGCTGCTGAGGCCAGGCAGCATGCAGCAGGGGTTATTCTGCATAAAGAAGGCCCTGATAGACCACTGCGTGAAGCTGTGAAGGTGAAGCCTGGTTGGCAGTGGAAAACTCAAGAAGACGTTCATGCTGCCAGAGCTGTGAGGCATCTGCCAAGAAGACTTGCATAAAAAGAGTGGTACCAGCCCCCAAGAGAGGGATGCATGTTGCACACAGAAAAACTAGAGAGGCCTTTGGAAGTAAAGCCCTAGAAGTCAGATGTGGAGCTACTGGATTTGGCATATGTCCTACTGGTTTTCGTTCTTATTTTGGTCCGGTATTTCCTTCTATTCCTCCCTTTTGGAATGGTAATGTGTATTCAGTTCCACTGCATGTTGGGAGCATGTAATTTGTGTTTTGATTTTACAGGAGCTTACAGTTAAGATATTTCTCTGAGTCTCAGAAGAGACTTTGAACTGTGGACTTCTGAATAGTATAAAGACTAATAATGACTATGGGGACTTTTAAAGTTGGACTAAATGCATTTTGCATTTTATATGATCATGATCCTATGGGGGCCAGGGGGTGGAATGTGTTGGTTTGAATGAAAATGTCCCCCATAGGCTCCAAATATTTGGACATTTT